GTCCCCACCGAGCTGGGGCTCATTTGTCCATCTCTCCTTTGGGGCCTCAACTCAAATCCTAATTCCTTTTTGTCTGTGGGTGGGATCCAATGTTCTGCTTGTACAAGGCTAAAAGCAAGGAGCTAAACTATCTGGCTTCTTTTGTATAATGTTGTTCTGATAAATTGGAAATTCTAAGACATCAAATCCCACCCACCAGCTAACTGGGCTTCATGGGGATTGGGCAACCCTGGACCTGCAAGCAGGCATGGTTCTTCTGTGTATAGACAACACACTCAGGCGAATCAGAGCCAAGGTCACAGACGCAGAGAACATTAGAGCCAGGTGTTTTTGTTTTTTTTTTTTTTAGATTACTTGGCTGAACTATCCTCCCTTCTAACACATGACAGAACTAAGTCCAAAGAGCAGTATCCCTGAACCTAAGCTACACGTCACACTTACCTATGACACTTTACAGATGGCTGGGTCCAGACCCCAACAGAGAGTCTGATTCACCGCCTGGGGCAGAGATTTATGCCCTAGTGGGTGATTCTGGGTGCTATGTTAAAGTGACTTGCCTAGGGTCACTGTAGGGGCAGAGCCTGGACAGCACCCGGTCTACAGCCTTCTTTCCCACTATACCACTGTGTCTCTCTAAAGAAAATGAGTTTAACATGGAATTGTATTAATTACTCAATATTTAAGGCCTTCTGAGAAGTCCCCTAACTACAAAACCTTCCCTAACAAATCGGCTGCAACCGAATATTTACATCCATGCCTCCTGTGATGGCAGGGCTTTCCTGCCTGTACTGAACTCGACAGGCCCGGGGGCGTAAGCAGCGTCTCTCCACCTTGGTCTGAAAGACAGTGCTTCCACTTGGAGGTGAGCTGGGACTGCAGGCTACAGTTCCAGTTATGAGGCCGGTGCTCTTGCTCTGTCCCCCAACAAAATTAAAATGAATATTCTCTGTCCCCTGCTGCCACTCTAGCCTCTCACTAGGGTCTGGCAGGATCAGGAAGATAACTGAATGAGGCTCAAAATAATTAATCAGTTTCCAAAACAATGTGACTTAGCAGACCCTAGAGGACTAAGGGTCAGGTGGGGTAAGGTCCTATAAAATTTAGGAATGAACCAGCCTATTAATTATATTCTAGAGCATCCAGTCTTACTGAACAGATGACTGTGCCTTCATCTAGCGAACTGTTCTATTAATCTGTCGATCGGGGTGACTTTTACTATCACGTTAGAACCCCACATTTCTTGAAGACATAAACAAAACACACTGGATTACACTAAATACCATTGTGCTGAATGTGGATTCACATTGTGCAGACACATGATCAGGTTTATAATCATCCTTCCTTTTAGAGGCTCTCCCAGGCAAGTGGGTCACATGTAAGCACACGGTATTATTAAAATCTACATTACAACCTGCCCCGTATTACCGAGCAATCTGGCAAATGGTACGCCTTAGTATCACGTGTGCTGTTACTCAGCGCTCCCCACATTGCTAGAAAACCCTCTTGCCTATTACTCATATCTCATCTGAACATGTGAGCCAAGCAGACCAGCATGAGTATTTCCCACTTCAGCCAGACAGTACCAAATGGCAACAGTCCTGACCCTCAGAAATGACATGTTTGCTGGGGGAGATTATTGGACTTTCAAATAAAAACCAAGTCCAGATACCCAGGAAAGGAAAAAACAAAACAGAATACACTGGACTTCATACATGTTTCATATACATATTTATATATATTTCATGTACAAAGTTACATTCTGAACCCCAGAGATTCCATAATAGAAATAAATACTGAAATAACTACATTGCTAAATGAGCTTTTTGCTCACAGAAATGAAGCCTCAGCCTCTAAGAGATAGCAAGTGGGACATTCTAGAACCCATTTTTCAGATTATAGAGGCAAGTAAAATTCTGATAAAATGTCTTGGACAAAAAACAAATTTAGAACATAAAATGGTTAAAATATATTCAAATATCGAGAAATGTATGACAAAATTAATGATAAAACAATTTTTAAGAGAAAGAAAAAAAGACATTTAGTGTTACAGAACAGCATAACCCTGTTAGAAAAGCATTTACGATTTCCACATTTAATTTTGTCTCCTACTCTTCCCCATGTTACAAAGGGAGACCAAATGAGTCCCCTTCTCAACATGATCAATTAAGAAGAGTGAGCCCTAAATCTGGTCGAGTCCTTTGGTAATGGTCATAAAACGCACAAGGAAATAAATATTCAGTTCCATAGCATTTGCAAGACACATGGTCTTTAGGACAGTTAATATTGTGAAACATTTTGTTTTGCTTTATTCTTTTACTAAGGCAGCCTTTGTTAAAGGGTCTAGTCTCAAATGTAGGAAGACCTTTGCAAGAAATGAACAATACAGCAACTGAGAGAAGTGTATTTTAACCTTTTCTATGCGAACACATTTACTCTGAAAAGTTATGTGCTGCATATTTTGTGCTCAAATGTTTTACACTCTCAACAAGCTGTAGCTATTAAGAGATTCATTCCTATTTTAAAAATTTAGATCCACACAAGTTAGAGAAGAACACTCTCAAAACTGAGTTCCTGGGGAATATTCTCCCTTTGCCTCACAGAAGATTTTAACCTGCATTTAATTGTAAGTATTAGGTTGAGGCATTTTTGTAGACCAGCAATGGTTGAACACTGGCTATTTCTTAATGTTCGACCTCATACATAACCCAAATATAACAAAATGAAAATTCTCAAATATCCCTTATTTCTTCCAACAGGGGCAATTTTTTTTTTTAAAAACATGGAGAGATCAACCTGAGGTACTCAAGCCTCTTCTCTGCCCTTGACATGGTAGCTACAGGCAGTTTACACCCCTTTGCTGCCTGGAAGCAGCTTACATTTTGGCATTTTCTTCCAAAAGTTACCACTTTGACCAAAGTGAACATTACAAGAATATCAATCTGTTATGTGGGGAACGGTAAGTGAGGCAATCTGTAGAAAATATTGAACTGAAATTACAAACATAAGAACAAGCCTTTAAAACAAATTATACAGGCATTTTTGTCCCTGAAGTTAATCAACAGGGCCACAGATAATCTGACATTTTTAGATAAAATAACTATATATCTATATTCCTTTAGTTAAAGCCAGTAAGTTCAAAAACAGCAATTACAACCATTGTGACATGTTTGCACTTTCCATCTTTAACTCCTGATTTCCTAAATTACGTTCAGCCATACCAACATGGCTGAACAACAGCAAATGGGGTCTGACTCTGGGATGTTTACTTCTCGGGATTAAATTTCCCAAACACGCTGCTGTCTCTTTCTTGTGAATTTATACATTTCCAATAAATGTTTAATAATGCTTTTTTAAGGTATTGTCAAAAATGGCTCATTTAATATAAGATAAAAACATGGCAAATAAGCTATGGAAAAGTGGGCTAAGTTTTGGTGCCTTGAAGAAAAGTGACTAAGTAGCTCAAGCAAAAAATTATCCTTTTAATACAGCTTTTACCAAAACAGTTCTTTTCTTTTAATACATACAGTGGCCACGATTTTATTGTGTACACAATGTGCTTGTAGACACATGTGATCAAATGTATCTAACGGCCTCCTCTGGCTCATTAAACCCCGTGTACTTGATAATCTAGTGCCTAATCATGTATATGCATAAAAGTCACTGGTGTACTTTTTACAGACATCTTTGCATAATGGTTCAGAAAAAAAATCCCTGGTACTTAACACATTAACTGCCACGTGAGTTGTATTTAACTCAAGCTAGTTTTAACCCCGGGGCCTCATGAAGCAAAATCTGGGCAAAACCTGCAGTTGGTTCGTGAAAATCTTACTTGTTGATGTTCTTATTGTTACAATTAATATTGACAATGTAATTCTAAAAACGTGGATTAAATGAAAAGAAGTCAAAAAATTTTGTTTTTCTATTCGTGTTTACCTTTAAATTACATTTAAGCCTGACAAGTCAAGAAAAACACTTTACTCTTACGAACTATTTTTCAAGTTTTCACATTACTTTTTACATTACTAATTTTCAAGTTTTTATATTACTTTTTTATTGAAAAGCACAGAAAAAAATAAAAAATAACAATTTTTTCATTAAATTTATTCTATTTGTGTAATGAAACACTGCGGCCCCAAGGAAAAAAATTTTTTTTCTAGTGTGGCAGTCAATGTGTTAAGAATGCTTAGGCAGTTTCAGACCTGTGTCTGCCCTCTTTTCTTCAAAGTTGTCCTTCCGATGATTGGGGGGGGCCTTTATCCTACAGGTTTGTATTGTTAAAATAGTACATAAAATTATATTTAGCTTTGTTTAGGAGTAATGGATAAGAAAGGGTAAATCACACATTTTCAAGAAGCTTGAGAGGGAGAAAATTGCAGCATCATGGTTTTTAAAAACTTATTAAACAAGAAAATCAGTTAAACCCAGACTCCAATCTATTTTTTTAAATGGGCATTGTGAGTGAAAAAAACATAATGTCAACCTTTGCTTCACGGTATCTTGGCTTTGTTTTTTTGTCCTTTATAGTTTTCCCCTTTGAAGACAGCATTTTAAACTCAAAAGGGTACAAAACCTCGTGTTATTTACATACAAAATACCAAGTATATAGCTGTTCTGTAGTTTTATACAGAACAAAAGAAAATAGGTTTTCTAATTAAATCCCTCATTCAGTAGGTTAGGACGGCGTCCATCACCGCTACCGTTTTACTCTTATTAACAGCTAAGAGCAGTCTAGGAACATTTGGCAAACAGGTGAATTTTTCACATGGACAAAACTCAATCAACCACCACCATCCTCTGGTACAAGGAATACAAAACACAATTTCCTTTTAAAAAAATCCTCCCAGTGCTGAAGTATCTTTTAAGCTTCCCCGAGTATTTTCTAAGCTTTATAAATAATAAGCCTTTCAGACATGTCAGTATGAAAATGAGTGAGACTAGTCTCAAAAAGAAAAAAATCAAAATATTCTGAAAAGCAGGCCTCATAAACTTTAGAGCTCTAATAAGTCAGAAACAGGAAACGTTTATTTAAATAGTGTAGTCTTAATTTCTTTAATATAAAACCCCCCCAAATCTGATGAAAACAAAGTTTTATATACCATATAAACAAGATTTGTCAGATTTGAAAGTGAAAGTTAAAGTAATTTACAGTTAGCTTTTAGCCCTCTCGGGACATTTAGATAAATCCTGATAATCCACTTGATATTAGTGCGTGTCAATTTTATGATACATTGGGCAAAACTCTGCTATTGTACTTAACGGTACAGTTTCATTCATTAAGTGTTTTCCATTAATTCCATTATTAGTGACAGCTAAAAAGTGATCCCACCAAATGAAGTGAGTGACATTAGATGGTGGCAGAGTAAACCACATCTGGATTGCTTTCTATAATTTACCAGTTTGAAGAAAGTAAACATTCTTTGATTTGTTCATAATATACTGAAATTGCCTATAACACTGGTGCAGGAAAATGGCTAGTTCCTCTGTATTGTTATGGTAGAACAGATTTTGTAATATAAGGTTAACAGGAAAAAAATGCTCACACATTATGTGGTGAAACTTATTTCACAAAAAGAGCATTAAATAAAGGGGAAAAGGGAAAATAAACCATGCAGAAGAGACGGCTTCCCCATCTCCGCCTGTTTCCTATGGGCTCACTCACTGCCATACATCACTTGCCACACTATCAAGTGACTCCTTTCTGCTTTGGTGACAGAAGGTTCAAGTGGAAGATCCTCTCCAAGAAGTTCTGATTCTCCACCTTCATCACCTAGTGGATGACAAGAAGACTCAGGTTAGGTTAAACACAGAAAATATAGAAGGATGTGAATCAGACATAGTGCTCATGGTTCCATGAATAGATGCACAAAGCTTGTCTGACTTCCATTGCAGAGAAAACAGTAAAAAAATACCATGAGTCAGAATCTTCTCTCATATTCACCCAAGCCACTGCCTGACTTTCAAAAACGAATTCATTTTTCAGACTACATTTATACAATCAAGTTCACTATACCCTGTTGTAAAGTCATCCTGCTGTATCTGCATATTGATGTCAACAGAAATGGGAAGCTAAGAAGGCAAAGCTGTCCAATTCTATGTTCATCCAAAATAAACAGAGCCTACTCTCATTTATTTAAATCTAAGAATTGAGATTAAATAGTGCTCTAAAATGTGTAAGCATGGGTATAGAGCACACAAACTCAACCCAAATAACTCATGCTTATTTTCAGTGATAGGTGTAACATTCTCCAATTGTAGATAACTGATACAAGCACATGGAAATTAAAATCGTCTCCCTGCAGCACTACAAGATGGCAGATTCATCACCTACTATACTGGGTTTCTCTTTCAATGATTTTCGAGTTTAGGATAGGTTATGAATTAACAGTACATGGTGGAAATGAAGAAACTAAGAGGCTGGAGTAGCAACTAGGCTACAGGTTCTTCTGCAAGGCAGCTGAGTGAATGTGACAATTGAGGTCCTGATCAAAGGCACTGGCTTCCAAGGCCCAGTGGGGGCACACCGCACTGCTCTGCACAAGCTTGCATCCATTACATTTGGTGTTAAAGAGCAAGGTTACTTTGGCACAATCCAGTGACAACTTGTCTAGTACAGTGGATTCTTCAGCAGAATCCTAGACACGTGTATACCAAGGTACAAAGACAGTCCACTGATTTACTAGAATTTTGTAATGTGCCTTATGTGAATTTCAGCTGGACAAAGAAAATATTGATACCATTGACTACAAACAGTGGGAGAGAAAAAATCCTAAACATCAACATTTTTCTCTGCAAGCTAAACTCTCTTACTCCACCCTCTAGTGGCCTTTTTTTTTTTTGGAGACAGAGTCTCACTTTTTTGCCCGGGCTAGAGTGCCGTAGCGTCAGCCTAGCTCACAGCAACCTCAAACTCCTCGGCTCAAGCAATCCTACTGCCTCAGCCTCCCGAGTAGCTGGGACTACAGGCATGCGCCACCATGCCTGGCTAATTTTTTCTATATATTTTTAGCTGTCCAATTAATTTCTTTCTATTTTTGGTAGAGACGGGGTCTCGCTCTTGCTCAGGCTGGTCTCGAACTCCTGAGCTCAAATGATCCTCCCACCCCAGCCTTAATTCTTCTCTTATAAAGGAATTCTACAACAATAGTCAATTATTTAAAAACAATCGAAATGACTCCATTGCTGCTACATTGTTGGATGAAATCAATTTCTAAACACAATACCCCTCCCCCCCTTAAAAGTGTAAGTCTTTTCCATCAGATAGTCTGATTTACGCTAATCACATATGGCACACTGTCATTTATATGACCCTAAATTTTTAACTTTATTATTACAGAATTCATATCTAAAACAAGTATTTGTCACTGATCCACAGCATTATTATATTCCCTAAAACCATTTAGTGTCTTACATTTGGGAACTTTTTGAATCACTGAGATTTTAGGTTAGTAGTACAAGGGATGTTTATTTATAGCAAATAAATAAATTTATATTTGCACAGTGCTTTACAGTTTACAAAGCACTACTCTTTCGTAAGCATCAATTCTCTTTTTGATTTCTCTTTTCTTTGTACCTCTCTGGCCATTCCTTCTTAGATTCCTCAAAAAACTCTGATGATCTTTAAATGGAGTATTAATTCGGGGTTATAACCTCTTCTTTTAGCCCCTACATACTTTTCTTTGGTGAACTCACCAAGCCTCATGGCTTTTAGTACCACTGCATGCCAAAAGCCCCCCAATCCCTCTTTCCTAAGATATAAGACCTGTATACCTAGAAGCCCAGTGGGACTCTCCCACTTAAATCACCACTGTGCTCTTCAAGGTCAGCGTGTCCAACACTGGACTCTTCCTTACCTCCCTGCAGATCTGCTCCTGCTGTTCTACAGGAGCTCTAAGTGAACAGATCACTCCCTCTCTCCCCACACCCTGGTGATTACCAATTCCCCATCATGCTTCTTATCTATTCCCACTGTTACTACCTTACTAATGTATTCATTTTTCCCTAACTTGTTTCCCTATCTCTAGCCTTGAACCTCCAATCCATTTTTCACACAAATCTAATCACACTGCTCCTAGAGTCCTCCTTTGCTTGAAAGATAAAGTACAAATTCTTTAATTTGGTATACAAAGGCCTCCCATACTCCAGCCCCTCCCTCCCTTTCTAGACCAGAAATTTGTACTTTCTTCTACTCCATGCTCTCATCATTTTAAAACTATTTTTCTTCAATTAAGATGGTTTCACATCTTTACACCTTTGGTCAAGCTATTCTCCTACCTTGGAATGCCAATCCTGAGCCCTCCCCAGCCCCTTCGTAACTCAATCCTTTAGACTAATACTATTCAGTGCTGATTCACCTCAAGTGTCGTGTCTTGACTTCCTTCTCTCCCCAACCCTGGAAAGAACTGACTACTTATCAACAGCACATCTACAACAGTTTGATTTATTAATATTAATACATCTCTATCTCTGCACTATTCTATAATCTATTGGACGAAGGTTTTGATTTGTTTCCATATCTCAAGTTTAAGGTTCACAGACACATAGCAGATGCTCAATAAATGTTTGCGAGAAAAAGAACAAATGAAGTATTTTTACTTCTTCATTTTGCAGGTGAGGAAACTAAGCTCTTAGAGGGTGAATGATTTGCGCAAGGCCTTCTGACTGAAAATCTTATGCTCTTCACATCAAACTGAACATATGACCACACCTTGCTATTTGTAATATTCTTTGAAACAAATATACTTTGGTATGAAAAGAAATACCAAAAAAAAAAAAAAAAGGAAAGAAATGAAAATAAGAAGAAGAAGGAAAAAAGGAAATACAAAATCCTTTCCCAAGTAAAGAATTCAAAGAGAACCTCTTAGAAATCATTAGAAATCAGAGTGGTTTTTTATTTATTGTGGGTAAAAACACAAGTCACAGAGCACAATGGAAACTGAGATCCCAGAACAGAAGATGACTCACCCATTCGGAAGTCAATGTAGCCCTCTCCTCCACTGATGACAAGCATAGACTTTGAGGGCGTCTGGCTACCAGGCTCCTGTGCAGATGGCCCTGCTTTGTCGGCTGTTAGATCTGTGCCACTGTTGCCACTTGGTGGGCTGATGACTTGACCTATTTTATATAGGAACAGAAGTGAATATTACTTATCAGAGATAGGGGTGAGGGAAATTGTTGTTTTTTTCTGAATATTTTCAGAGTTAAACAAAAAGGTAAGAATATTCTCAAATACAACCTTAGTACTGGGGAAGCTAGAAGGCTCTGCATGATCAGAAAACATCTATAACAAGGTTACAAGACCCCAATTTGAACGTCTAAGTAAAGCAATTTTGTACCAAAGCAGGAAGAGGTCCAAAATCCAGTATGAGATATATGTATGGCAAGGTGGGTCTCAGCTACCTGCTTCAAACTATTAATATCTTTTGATCTGAGAGATAGTGGAAGGTCTATTCCCTGAAAAGGAGTGTGCTTATTTGTGTAAGAGACCAAGAAAAGTCTTCAACTTAAGGCTTATGAGTTTGTGTATCTATAATTAACATTTAAATTTATTCCAAATCCATGGCTTTCCTCTCATATTTCAGGAAAGTACATCTTATCTTAAATTTAGATTATGCAAATAAAATTACCAGAAAATGTGCCATTTGTTTTAAAGCTTAAGTTCTAAGGTACCTTGAGCATGAAATGGTAGAAAGAGGGAAATCTTTAAATATTATTCACACTATGAACAAATGAACAATCTTTAAGGCATTCGTCTTAGAAAGCTTTGACTGTGGGATATTTTCTTCCTTGCCAGAATCTACTGTCTTTTGGTCAAATTATACAGACCATGCCTTCAGGAGCTAGCAGGACAGTCATATGATGCAATATACCATAAAAAATTAAATTAGTATCTGTTGAAAGTGGATAGGATAGTTTGATGTATTCCCACAGGGCTTCATTCATGCATTACTCAATTATACTTTGAAAGAAATCAAGCCAGCTAGAGATAACTTCTGTCAGTAGAATAGTTAGTTCTGCCAGGGAAGCAAGAGCACAGGGGTATAAAAATACGGCCAACCAGGACTTAGGGCCAACTGGCTTCACAACAAACAATGCTGCCAATTCCACTTTTAGGTTTATTCCCAACAGAAAAGTTCTGCATATATGCACAAGGTCCACTGCAATATTGTTTTTAATAGTGGAAGAAAAAAAAAAGGGGGGGGGAAGAAACCTAGAGACCTATCAATAGGAAAATGAATAAAATATTGCACATTTATTCAGACATGAGAATACCAGATTTCTATGTATGAACATTAATAAATCTTAAAAAAGTGAGAAGCAAGCTGAAGAATGCATATAAAACATAACATTTAAGTTGAAAACCACAAAAAAATACTGTATTTTGTTTATAAATATATTTTAAGCATAGTAAAAACACAAAAACATAGGCAGGAGGATACCTGTCAACTTCCACATAGTGGTTACAGATGGAGAAGAAAGGGAGAGGGAATGAGATTAGATAAGGATATAATCAAGACTCAAGGGGGACTCTGTGACATTTTATTTCTTTGTTTTAAAAAGCAAAAAAACCCTGCTATTACCATAAATCTCCTTTCTAGGAATTCATCCTAAGGAAATGACTATACAAATATATAAATGACCTTGCTCTACTACATTTAATCATTTCATCTTTGGAATACCTTTGGAAAAATGAGTGTGTTGGTTAACTGTATGTGTCAGCTTGGCTTGGCTATGGTGCCCAGATATTTGGTCAAACACCAGTCTAGAGATTGCTGTGAAAGTATTTTTTAAACGTGATCAACATTTAAATCAGCAGTCTTTGAGTAAGGCAGATTACTCTCCTTAATGTGGGGGGGCCGCATCTTAATCACTTGAAAGCCTTAAGAGAAAAAGACTGAGGACCCCCGACGAACAAAAATGTTGCCTTCAGATTGCTTTCAGCCTTGAATTGCAACAGCAACTCTCCCCAGGGCTCCAGCCTGCCTGCCTGCCCTGCAGATTTCAGATTTGCCAGCCCTCACAATCATGTGAGCCAATTTCTTAAAATCTCTCTTATTCTCTCTCTCTCTCCACACCTACACACACACACACACTCTGTTGATTCTGTTTCTCTGGAGAACTCTAACACAGAGCAACACCACCATTTCTAGGTCACACAGTTGGTGTGACAAAGCCAGATCTGAACTTTGTCTAACTCCTAAATTCGTCTCTTGTGGGGAAAAAAATTAAAAATATGGGTCCTGCTTCTAGATGGTAACATCATTTTTGTATTGTTAATGGACAGAATGTTTTTCACTGGACATTACCACTATCACCTTTTGTCTGGATGGTGCTTTCTAATTCCCAATAGCATTTTCACAACAAATGAGGTAGGCAGAGCAGACATTAATCACGTCCACTCAGGAATGAGGAAATGAGTCTCTGAGGTTGAGATTTGCTCAAGGTTAGTGGCAGAGACAGGGGGCCCAGACCCCAGGGCTCCTAGTCCACACACTGCTAAGGTACCAGAGTACATTCCCCATCTCTTCCTGCACACAGTATTGGTGACACAGGCTTCTTTCTAGTGACTTCCTTCATTAGGTCAAGACCATTTTTGGCATCCTGCTGTGACAAAATAACACCATTGCTTTTCAAAAGTAAGCCAGTCTCTTAAAGAAAAATCAAGATATTTGTTTTTGGAGGTGGGGGAGATATTCCAAAATAACTTCATTCAAGTATCCATACAGCACTGTATTCGATCCTCTGTTACGACTTCCTTCATATAGTATATTGAAATTAAATGCAATTCCAGTCCTTAGCACTAGACCAGGTAGTGGAACCAAGGGATGACAAAAGAGAGACAATTACGCATCTCAACAGAATAATGTAACGCACCTGGCACTGCCACAAAGAATTTCACAGCATCCCGGTGCCCATGGAAGCAAAGCTGTGCGTGTGCCATTGAACAATAGGGTATAAATGTTCCTGGAGTCACTTTATCACTGTTTTCATCACCATATACGCGGATTACACTTCCAGGACGATTTCCTGGTGCTCCTGAGGTTTTATTTGCTGCAACAGAAAAACCAAATACCAAATATTTTCCCCTAGAAAACAGTAATGATGCAAGAGGTTACTGGTTAATCCTTATGACATTATCTAAAAGCTACAGCCAGTTGAGATAAAACAAGGGCAGCATTGCCAATTCAAGACAAAGCTGGGGGAAAAAAGATACAGCATGCTAGTTATTTTTAAGTACCTCAGTAAATGGAGTAGGGGATTTTGCCAGTCTAGCAATAACTAAGCTTGCTTTTTAAATACATTTATTCATTTTTTAAAAATCATTTTAGTTAACAAAAGAAAACAGATTTGACTCTTAGGTGTGTCTGTTTTGTTTTGGTTTCAATTCGCATTTTAGAAAACTACCCATTATATAAAGTAAATACACGTATTTTTAAATAAAATCTTTTTTATAGTTTATCTTATTTTGCTCCCTTGTAGTAAGAATATTTCCCTTGAAGGGGTGGTAAAAAGTTGTGCATTTAAGAATCCAGCCACTATAATTGAGTAGCTTTTGTTTACACAAGACTGATGGTTTGCCGCGTTATTGTAGAATGACCAGACTCACAAAACATCCCCATTCCATGGGCGAGTAAGTGAATGAAAGAAACAGGATCAGTAATACGAGTGAACAATGTAAATTAATGACAGTTTAGGAGATGTTCCATGTTTATATTGGAAAGAAAACAAAGTCTGAAAGAAAGTTCAGCTGCAACAAAAGATGATAAATAGATTAAGCTGCTGAGCAGTTTGGTGGCCATGTAACAAACATTAAAAAAAAAAAAAAAAACACCTGCTGCAATGCAGTGACTGCAAGTGGATGACATTTAGGAACAGTCAAGAGGGTATTCTAGAGAAGTGGGAACAGCCTCCCAGTGGCTGTAGAAGCCAGGAGGAAGAGTTTGGTTCAGGATCTGCACTTACCCCTCAGCCCCAGTAAACGTCCCTGGTGGAGGATTACGGCTAAAGTGAGAAAGGAGGAAAGGGGACATGGAGAGGTGCACGACAGGGAGGAGAGAATTATTGTGAGCCACCACTCTCAGCGTCTTCTATCTGGTAACCTGCGCTCAAAGCTCCTAGTGAAATTAACAGGATCCCACTTGGCATAATACCAAGTAACACATAAAGCTCTGAACCAATGCCTCCATAGAATCTCTCTGCTCAAAAAAGACAATTTGACTTACTGTGACTTTTTTAAAAAAATTATAAAGCAATTTTAGTGAATCTGAATCAAAACACTGAGAACTTAATGAAGAGCATTTCCTAAATGCTAAAATTTCTCCTTTATTTTTCTGTTTGTGTGTGTGTGTGTGTGTGTGTTTTAAAGAAATTCTGTTCCGGTAAGTGCATTAAAATGAACTCTCTCTTAAACAGCTGGGATAAAGAATGTGGGTTTCTTTAAAGGCTCCAGATATACCTTCTAGTCCTTCTTCCTCCCTTTCCCCTGAAAAAAGGTAGGGTGATTCTGAGGTATGGGTTTATTGACTTATTTTATGGACTTAATGACATTTGTTTTCAAACTATTCCCTGCCCATGAATTTTGCAACACAAAAAACACTTACTTAATGGATGATCAATGAAATGGAACATCACATGAGAAACAATGTATATTTTGTTCACAAAAAAATAAATCACGTTCTTTTAAAACAGAATAGATGCATTTGTCTGCAGTATAAGGAAATGCTTGCTGACCTCCTGAGGAACTTCAACTTTTTTTAAACCTCAAACAATGCACATGGAATACCCTAAATTATCTGTCAAGGAGATAGGCAAAACTAGGACGAAAGCTAGGTAGTGTTTCTGGACACTGGTGTAATAAAGCTGAAGAAAAATGGACTTCAATTTTTATTTCGAAGATAAAATAGGACTGTGATTCCTGAATTGAGAAAAATAGCTTCTCACAATGAAACACTTTTAATCATGAGCACTGAAGAAGAGTAACAATAGTTAGATCCTTGCCATCAGTTTGATTTCTGAGCTACCACAGATTTGCCAATATATAAACAATTCCCTCTACCTAAATTCTAGACATAACTATTTCCTGCAACTCTCCTATTTGTCCTGTGGCAGTTATCTAAAAATATACTTACTTTCTGTCAATGGGATGGAGATAATGACACCATTTCCTGTCCCCACCCACAAACGATTGCAAGACACCATAAGAGCTGTGATCCTCACAAAAGAGAAGCCCAGTTTTCCAGTACCTGTAAGGGAGGGAGGGAACATTTTATTGAGAAACTAGAGCAGACAGTGTTTTAGATGCCAAGCCCCTTAAAGTAGCAGGATTAATACAACAGAGAAAAAATGTGACCAGAGCTAGATGGATGTTTCCTGAAGGTGCACATCAAAGCAAACTCTTACTTGGCCATATCATCTATCTGACAATTCAGAGTTAATGGGGGAAAAAAATTCTAAAAGTGGGTAGCATTACATCATTAGTCAGAAGAAAGGTACACAGGAAATAAGGCATATCAGGAAATATGACACAGGATTGAATTTGGGAGCTGCAAAACCAGACCAAAACACAAAACAAAACAAAAAATCCCAACAAAAAACAGAGTTTACTAGATTGGGAAATCAAATGTCCTTTGATTTTAAAAACTGAAAAAGTTCTAGTTTGCTGTAAATTTCTTTGTACAGATAAAAACAACCTTTGCTAACAAACCTACACTTTGTCCCTTGTTTATATATTTAGGTTCTAAAGCAGTTTAGAAATATTAGGATATAAATAATTTAGGGAAAATGGATGCATTTTTGTATAATATTTTAAGTGAATTTTTACAATTGATCTTATTTTCAGTGACATGAGAGGCAAATTATTAAACAGACAATATATTTAAGACAGACAGTATCAGTCTTTCGTAAGTTTTACTCACAGCAACTGAGGGCATGATCATAGAACCATAGGTTAGAAAGGAGCCTTTACTATCATTCAGTTTAAGCTAAAAACCTTGAACCTATAGTCCAAGTATAACCCTCAAATTAGTTTGTGTTTGTGTGTATATACATGCCTGTGTGTATATACATCCCTAGCCCGAGTCTAGGGAGAGAGTCATAGCTATAATTAGGTACTCTGAGGGCAGGAACCCTAAAAAAGTTAAAAAGTACTGATCCAGTTCAACCTTTCATCATTTAAGGAATAATTTATGACATCCCTAATAGTCTATAGCACTGAGTTAGGTGCTGAGGATACAGCAGAAAACAAGAGAGAGATGGTCCCTGCCTTCATGGGGCTTAGAGTCTGTGGGGAAGACAGTGAACACAAATCACATAATACCAGTACAATCACAGTAATGACAAGCCCACAAAGAAAAAGCATGAGAGGACTAAGTGAAGGTCTCTCCTGGAATGACACATAAGCCTATGATCTGAAAGCTACATAAAAAGAGACTAAGAGCTTCCCAGGAAGAGGATACAGCACATGCAAGAATCCTGAAATGGGAAGGAGCTTGTTGAGCTGTGGGTCAGTATGGGTAGAAGAGAGTGAGCAAGGAGAGTGGTCCAGCCCATGTCAGTTCTAGTCACAGGACAAAATATCACCTCACCTAAAGGCAAGAGTAGAAGTATGTCAAGGTAATACTTGCACATTGGTTACTAAGCAGAGAACAGACTGGAGTGGAAACAGGCAGCCCAGTTAGGAGGCTCATGGTCTTTCCAGGGGTAAAGGATGGTTGCTTGGCATAGGGGAAGAGTGGTCAAGATAAAGAAGTAATTGAGGCCAGGCGTGGTGGCTCACGCCTATAATCCTAGCACTCTGAGAGGCTGAGGTGGGAGGACTACTTGAGCTCAGGAGTTCGAGACCAGCCTGAGCAAGAGCTTTCTACTATAAATAGAAAGAAATTAGCCAAACAACTAAAAATAGAAAAAATTAGCCGAGCACGGTGGTGCGTGCCGGTAGTCTCAGCTACTCGGGAGGCTGAGGTAGGAGGATCGCTTGAGCCCAGGAGTTTGAGGTTGCTGTGAGCAAGGATGACGCCACGGC